CGAGGCGGAAGGAGCCGTGCCATGGGCATCCCCTCGCCGGGGAAACCCAGCCCTGGCCACCCTGGGAGCACCACACCGCGCACTGCCCTAACCCCGAGCCTCTCCACCTTCTGACCTTCAAGAATTCAGCTCCCCACTCAAAGCTAGCATTTTAGTTCAGCCTCTTATTAAACCCTTAAGAAGCCTAAAATTCAAGCCTGACCAGTCCGCCAGCCTGAGGAAAGCCTACGTACAAGGGCCCGGCGCCGAAGGATGTCGTTAAAGCCTTCGCAAGGCTAACAGGCGCTTGGCGCGGCTCCTGATCAGAAAATCCCTTTGGTGTTGCTCATGTGCTCCGTTTCCTTCCTGCTTTCTGGGGTGCATCTCCGCAGGTTGTCAGAAAGCTGGAAGGGGATGCCAATATTTATTTTCTGTATTAAACATATGAGAGAGAGAAAGGGAAAAGCCTGCTTGATTCCTCTCCTCCCACGACATCGGGCTGGGAAGGAGCAGCAGTGCCTGTCTGAGGCTCCAGGGAAGAGCTGGAGGAAGGATGCCACTTCCATCACCACACGGCCACGGCCGTCGGCCACTGTCAAAGCTTTCCTCCGCCTGCAGACAGCGGGGACGCAGCACTTCCCGCAGGCAGCGGCCCGGGAAGCAGCAAGGGAGCAGACCCACGTCAGCAGGAGCTCCCCAGGGCTCAGGGATGGAGGACACGGACTCTTGCGGGGCGGCTGGAGGCAGAGCCGCTGGCACCAGCACAGCGTGCCCGCCTCCCAGTCTGGAGCGCAGGCGAGAAGCGCAACGCGTGCACCTGCAAACCCTGCAGCTAGCGCTCCGTGGAGACCATCCAGCATACGGACCCGAACATGAGTCACAGGTTATGGTGCGAGCCGTCTGTGCTCTGTTAACGGGGACAAAATATCGGCAGAAAAGTGACGGCGTGCAGCTCCTGCGCGGGGCCCGTCCGGGTTACGTATAGGGCCCGAGGCATGGTGCAGCCGGCAGCGCAGGGCACGAGGGCCCCGTGTCAGCACGCACGGAGAGATGGCTGGAGGATTACTCAGAGATAGGATCCTGCATCACCGCAAAGCCCGGAGCAGCTGAGGTCAAAGGAAAGAGGAAATTGAGTGTGCTCTCATTGCCGAGGCTTGGGATGAGGTCAGGCAGAAGCTTTGTGGGCAACCAGCTCCCGAACTCGGAGCAAGCAGAGATGATGACGCCATTGGAATATGATTCAGACAGCAAAGGTATTTAAGAGCTTGGTTCCCAGTTGTTTCCAAGGGAATTAGGGACCCCTGCGAGAATTGTCGACTGGTCATGGGTCGGGGTTCCCGAGGGAGGTGGCAGTGATGAAGGTCGTGCAAGGCTCCAGCCAGCACCTGATGACTGCCTGCAAGGAGGAGGAGTAACTCAGCTGGCACCAAATTAGCACCTTGCACCACGAGACCTGCTTGCTCCACCTGCAGCACCTTGCGCCCTGCTTTGCTGGAAGCTGCGCGACGTGCACGTGCGGTGAAGTTCTCCGTGCAGATAATTACCGGGAAAAGACCATGGCCAGGCTGGGTATCTACCCCAGGGCTGGATGGAGCCAGGTTTCCGAAGGCACAGCTGCGAAAATGTCACCCTGAGCCAGAACCTCAAGTTTAGAGCCTGTGTTTTTATACCAAATATTTAGCATTTTCCCCTTCGCTGGCTCTGGCTACTGATTGACTACAAGTGACCTCCAGCTGCCTTATTGATTTACAGCGGCTGTCGAAGGACAAAAA